TCCCAGCAACATACAAATTAGGGCTCAAGTGTATCTACTCAGCTGTAGCCTACCCCCTTTTATACTCAATGTATAGAAACAGTTACCAAATGTAAACATGTAAAACAGGTTAGAGAAATTACCCCTAGTTGCCTGCATTTCTCCATTGACCAACTACAAAAGCAACTTAAAACAAGTATCTCAAACTTCAACTCTGGCATATATGTTTCAGTTACATATGCAACAACAAATGGGCATTCAGTCATGTATTTGACCAAAAGGATCCAAAATCATATTTACTCTTAAACCAAGAAATTAACCTACTCAAAAATAATTTATCAGAAGGCAAACACTGTAGAAAATACATTCAAGTCATTCCAACATCCATGTGTTTTAGTTTAGCTTAAAATTTAAAAAAGAGGAAAAAAGGGGGAGCTCCACATGCTGCAAGTATTAATCTAGTAATGAATTTACAATTAAGATAAAGCAGCTTTATATGAACAGCAAGAAATATTAGATTTCATTACATTTTAGTGTTGATTCTGAATCTGGATGTCTTGTTCTAATTATACCCAGGTAAATTCCATTGTTTTAGAGAGGTTTGCTCCACTAAGCAAGTTAAAATGCGTAAAAAAGTTTCAACACAAAGAAGAGAAACAATAACTTGTTCAACTTTTGAAACTATTCCCTTGTGGCATGATACGACCTCTTACTTCCACAGGTCTGGAGGAAGACTGACTAAACAACTGGAGGACTACAGCTACATAAAACCGCAATAAACTCAGCCTGAGCAAGTGAGAACTAATCTGAAAGTAATTACAGCTTTGAGCTGGTCCCCTGGCTTACTTGTAACTCTGCCACACTGTAACATATTTAAAGTGTACAAGGTACTTGAAAGCAAGTATCTGGTGTATGTGGGCGAAGAACAGGCAGCATTTTAGATAGATACCCATACAAATGTACACACACAGGAAGACGCACATTGTTTATTGTATCTAAAGCGTTAAATTAGTAGCGTCCAACCCAGCACTTGCATGAAAGAAAAATGACCAAGCAATCTTTCTGACATTGGTCTCAGCTACAGAAATAACAAAGTACCCCACACTCAAAATGTGCTGCAATTCACAGCACTCTACTGTCACAGTATTTCTGCCTGGAACACAACGAACTGAAGTTCCACACTACAAAAAAACATCTAAAATACAGTTTGTCTTGACTACTTTATTACATATGAGCTGTTTGATTACCAAATATCTTGGATACTCTAATATCTTGAATATTCTGCTAAACACTCAACTACAGGATATAATTCCCTTAGGATCCTTCCAAATCCTAAACAGGACAGTCTTCAACATACTGGAAGACATTTACTTGGCTTTACTTTTGGCTTTTAATTTGTATTTTTTATGAACAAAGGGACATCAGGTTTTTATATCTCCATGGTGCAGCTGTGACTGTTCAGTGTAGTACGGTTTTTGCAAATTGTTTTAATATAGCAATTATCTAGCTTCAATAACAGTTCCCCTATAATTTGAGGAAAGAAACTTAGTTTTCAGAAGTAATGAAACTTCACACTTAACCTTTGAATGGAAATCATAACATAAAAAATGCTTTGCAAACATTTAACCAAACTCACATGTTGCCGTATAAGACCCCTGCCAACTCACATCCGATCTCATGCCTTAAACACAGATTGACCTTTTCCTGATGAGGCTAAACTTGTGAACCAAGAGATCACTGTGCATTCAGCTATCTCAAATTAGGTCTGGTACTTTCTGAGAACAATCTTTTCAAACATTTCAAGATACAGTTCTCCAGCCAAAAAAAACCAACACAACAAATGCCCAACAATAAATAAAAGTCTATGAGCATGAATATATACATGGTTTAGCTTGCTTCACAGTGAATATTTCTATTCTTGATTGTCAGGAGAATGTGTCCCACAGGTATCCTCCAAAACTGTGCTGCTAACTTGGTCAACATAAAGCACTGCAGTATGTGGCACCAGAAAGTGTGGTCCCAGCTTGCAAGAGGAAAGGAAGCAATTAGGAATATTAAATTATAAATAATCTGATTTTTAAAAAATATAATAAAAAGCAGTCATTAAAAAAATAACATTAACTATTCTAATTTTGAAGTGGTTCATAAGAAGAACAGATTTTTCCAGCTACATTTCTAATCTATAACAAAAATACCCTAAATGTAACTATAAAAAACACAATGAAAATGTAGTTAGACTGCTCTAGGGAAGAAGCAAACCCCAGAGCTGTCTTAACTCATGATTCCACATTTGCTACTTCAACTCTATTCACAAGTCAATTTATTTACTTGCCTTCCTAACCTACACCCCTTACACATCAAGCATTATTCCACATGATAACCACTGATAAGGGAATTTCATATCAAAACCTGACCATTATGAAACCAAACCAGCAGCTGCTAACACATTACCTTTCTCAAATGTGAGTTCCAGAGACGTGAAGACTTCCAGATATATTAATGTATTTGTGTGATTTTGTGAGTGCTAAGTTAGGAAGTAATTCAACATTAGAAGTTTTTTTGCTATTAAAGTGTATTTACACTAAAAATAAAGGAAGAAAAAATTGTGGTTTATCACTGGAAAAGTGATTTCCTCCCTCACTGAATATTCTTGTGCAATTTTTGTGCCAACTACATTCATGACAAATAACAGCCCACTGAAATTATCTAGGAAACTTTAAGACACAGGACAAATGCAGCTCCTCTGCAAGAACCCTCAGCATTCAAATACACTTTACTCAACAGCAGTATGTCAGGCAAATGGAAAAATCATGAAAATAACATTTCTCATGATCAGAGAGGTTCCAACAGAGATTAGTTGAGTGAAAACTGTTAAAAAGAACATCATATTGTCTAATTGCCTTCATTGCTTTGCAGATTTGAAACCTGGAGCTAAAGAGATATGGCACAAAAATGGCACAAACCTCCTGTTTCAAAGTAACACACAACTGAATACCCTTTTCCTGCAATAAATTACAAAATGTGTAGTGCATCCAGTGAAACAAAGGCATCATTTAGTTGCACTGTTGCAGGTGTCTGCATGTTTACTAATCCATGGAATTGTTAGTGAACTATATAACCTGTAGTAACTGTCACAAGTAACCAAAGAGAAAATTGAGCTGTTTTCAGTTCAAAATACTGACTCTTACTCAGCCTACCAATAATACACTGTTGTAATTACTCTTAATAATTATAGCACTGAATTTTACTAATTTGATAGCATAACTATATTCAGTCACACCCAGTAGGTCAGAGAAAAGGTTACACCACAATACTACACATGGCCAAGCTTACTTTGACCTTCTGCTATCGCCAAGTATGATAAAGTAAGTCCTAAAGAAAAAAGCCTGTACAATACCAAAACACATTAGTGATTATTAGTCAGGAGGATATGAGCATTTAATAGGAGAAAACAGGCCTATAAAGGCAGAATAATTTGTAACACATAATAACTAAATCTTAAAGAAATAACACAGTTTTGTGACATTCAATATATTACAAACATTGAAAATATGGAAATCCTACTACCATTTGAAGCACAGTGCAAACATAAAAAACTATGATATCAGAAAGTTCATCAAAATTTTAATCAACACAGGTTAGTAATATTACACAGAACAAATACAGTTTAATATTTCAAAATATTTCCCAAGGTATTTCAGACAGAAGCACTAACATCTACAAATTAAGAGTCTAGTATGTGAACATTCTAGTATGTGAAATAACATAATTTGTCCTATACATCAATTTTGTCACAGAACTGCAAAACAAAAAGACTAAAATGAATGCTGGCAGGAAACTGGAGTCTTTCTAACATTTCAATCGTTTTGTATAAAACACCAAAAAATACTGGTTACATCTGAACAGCACTTTATCCCACAAACACTGAATTTCTTTATGTAGTCTTTTTACATACCCATGCTAGCATTCCATGTCATATTCAAACCCTATACTCCATAGAAAATAATACTTATTTGCTTACTTTCAAGGGAGAGAGGTGGTTTGTTTCCTGCTTCTGCTCTTACTAACTCATAGCAACAAAACTAACAGACACAGGAGGAGGCATTCTCCTGTGTTAGACTCTAACCTTAACAGTTACAGAGGGCAGTGAGGGAGCATGCGAAGTTAAAGAGCACGTTAGTGACCACCAGTTCATTTTGTGACAATGAGCTGATACTCAGCACTACAGGATCCATGTCAGTGTGCTTCACTTCGGTTTTCAATAGCGAGACTGTAAGAGGATAAAACGTGCAAAGTGGAAGCACACAGAGAAGACTGTTCCCTCACTCCTCACTTACATCTCAAAGTACCGCAGGAGACTCTTCAGCATGGGTGCCACCCATTAAGGACTGACTTTTGCAAATGATGCCACTACAAAGCTCAATCGAAGCTATAAAATTTGAATTCCACTCACTATTCAAATGTGGTACACGTTTATAGACAAGTTACACGAGAACTGTAACAGCACAACCCATTGAAGACAGCTACCAGTTGTTTGAGAACTTGGGCGGGACAGTATTTTACTAAAAAACCTTATCAGCATTTCCCAATTGGCAAAACATACCATTATGCTTCCTGTATAAGCAGCAACTGCTCTGCCAGAAAACAATTAGGTGTACCTACTGCAATCATTCAAAAGCTACTGACTTTAATTAGTAACAGGAGGCTAAAACGACTCTTCTCACACCGAAGCACTTGTACAAAGTGTAAAGAACAGAGGATATTCGCTGTTTTGTCTGACTAGACTAAGCATCTGAAGACAAAATTTTCTGAAGCTATCCTATAAAGTCGTGTGTTTACAATTCAGATTAAACTTTCTGAGTGTATTTGAAGTGGTGAAAAGGTTTTGGGTAGTTTGGCATGTTTTTCCCCATCTTCTCTTGCAAACACGTTCCAAAACGGCGAAAAGGGGCAGCATTTCAGGCTGAAGCAGCGACACGCGAGGTCTGTTGGGGATAAAAGCTCTCGGGAACAGGCTCGGGATGGTCCGCACTCCACGGCGCTCACAGGAGAGCGAGGAGCCAGCAGAGGGGCACCTGGCGCAGCCGCTCTCCGAGTTACGCTGCGGGCTCCGGCGGCACCGGCGTAGCCGCGTCCCGGGAGGGTTCGCACCTGGCGGCGGCGGGAGCACCGCCGGCACTGGAAGCGGCAGGCCGCGGAGGGGGGCGAGGAGAGCGGGGTCAGCGCCATCCCGAGCAACGGTCCGCGGGGTTACGCATTAACAGCCGCTTCCCGGGAGGGTGGAGCTGCGGGGAGGGGACAGGCGGCACCTGAGCCCGCAGGGGCGGTTTGAAAACTCAAGCGGTAAAAGGACGGGTGCGAGGAGTGCCCGAGACCCCCCCTCCCCGCTCCAGTCGTGCCGTCGGGGGTCGCGGGCAGCGCCGCAGCCGAGGGGCGCGCAGAGGGGGCGGCGCGGGCGCTGCCCTCCCCCGGCTCCGTCCGCGGAGCTCCGCTCCCCTCCCCCCGGCTCCCCTCAGGCCGCCCCTCGGCTGCCCCCCTCCTCCCGCCACACCCCGAGCGGGGTCCCAGGCCAGGCGCTCGGCGGCGAGGGGCCAGGGAGAGCCGGGCGGGCGTTCCACGCCCCGGACCCACTCACCTCCGTGTCCCGGGACTCCGGCCACTCCACTGAGGCACCAGCTCCCCTGGTCACCGAGGAGACGGGCGTCGGGCTGCGCCGCAGAGCGCTCCGGCCACTGGCTGCGCGGAGCTGTCAGTCACCGCGCTCGCCCGGCAGGGGTGGCGGTCGGGTTCCCGGACAGAGAAAGGGGAGAGACAATACCCAGCTCTAAAGAACTACAACTCCCGGCGTGCTCTGCGAGCGCCGCGCTCACTGCGGCCGTGGGGAGCGGCCTCGCGTGGGATGCCGGGACTCGTAGTTCCTCCGTCTACCCCGAGCCTCCTCGGCGGGGCGCGGTGGGCAGCGGGCGCTCCGCCTCTCCGCTTCGCGCCGAGTGGAGGCAGTGCGCAAGCGCGTGTTGCCGGCGCCCTTTCGAATGGGGCTGGGGGGGCGTGAGGAGCGGTCGAAACCGGGATGAAGGGAGGGATTAAATGGTCAATATCACTCATCAGCGAGAGCTTGCTCGGTTTTGTTGGAGCTGGGAGAACGAGGTGGAGCCAGTACTCACCTCAACAGCACGGTGGCGTTAGGTCTTAGGGGAGAGAGCGGTTAGAATAACCCGCAGTTCTGTGGCGACGCTGAGGAGACAGGGCAGGTTGGTCAGGGAGGATGGGCCGGGAGGCGTTCAGAAGTGCACCAAACAGGTATGCCGTGCCTTTGAAGGCCGGGAAGAAAGTGAGACAGAGCTTACAAGGTAAAGGTAGAAGTGGGAGGGCGCAGGGTGGCACTAGGTTCAACAATCCCGTGAGGGTGAGGGGGTAGGTGAGGCGTTTCGTAGTAATTGAGTGTCCAAAGGGCAAGAGTATGTGTAAAGGGGAAGTTTTACCACCTATATAGAGCAGAGCACAAGCGCCAAGTTCTCAAAGTACACTGGGAACAGCTCTATTTCTAAAGGGAAATACTAGAAAACCTTATTTTAAATAGAACAAATAGAAAGAAGGGAAGATAGTACACATAAAGTGAACATCAGTTAGGAGATTTGTGAGGAATAGTGTCCAGAAAAAGGGAACAAAAACCTCTTTGGCTTTCCTACAGAACCTGAAAAAAAAAAAAAAAATCATTATCTTTGCTGAAAATTGCAATCTTCAATTGTTTGCAAGGACTTGTAGTACTCCTTTATAAGTGGGGGTTTTCCTCATTTAAGTGTCTGTGCACTGGAAACCTGAAATAGAACTGAGCCTACCAGTCAGTATGTGAAGGAGTATGCACTTGCCTTTTCCGTCTGGTTTGGCTTTGGGTTTGTTTTGGTTTGGGGTTTTTTTAGTCTCCAGAGTAAGATATTTATCCTACAACTCACTGTTGCTGTTATACCTGTAAGGTAACTTTTAAACTGCAAAACTGTGGCTTGATGGTTTGAGTTCAGTAAGTTGTCTGATTTTTATCCAGTCAAGGCAATTGTTTCTTAGTATCTCCTCCCCCTTTCTGAAACACAGTATACTGGAGTCTTCAGGCAAAATGAAAACACAGGCCAAGAGGAAAAGCTCTTTGGAGAAATAGAGGATCCTGCTCTTTTACTCTAACCTCTGCCTTCTTATTCTGCTGTTTTTGTCAGTCCATCCCAAGGAGATTTCTACCAACATGAAACATTGCAGATCATTTTAGATCCCAGTTTTGTTATCTGTCTTACTAGGTTTTATAGAAAAAGCTTCTGAAGGGGAAAATAATCAAATTAAAAAAAAAGTGCTATCTTTTCCTCATCTTCACAGAAGACATCTTGGCAGATGAATGTAAAATTGCAAGGTGGTAGACCTCCTAACTTATGCAGCCACACTGGGCCCTATAAAGGTAGTTAGTGATCCTTTAGAGAGGCTAAAATTCAAAATGAATAAAGAAGAAAATTGACTGTTTGATTTTAAGCCTCACATGATTGATCCTTCCAGGTGTGATGCTGTAATTTAAACAAATACTGCAGAGATCTAGATTTGCCCAAAGAAGCAACACTTCTTTATCCCTTTGACTGGGAGGAAGTTGCAGGGACAAGAATTGCATTGCACAAACAAATGGTGGTGTTTTGGGTTGTCATCACTTAACAGTCTAATTATTTCTACATGAGGCTGCTAAGGCTGTATGTCATTTGCCACTGTTTCTGTTGCTTGTGCTACCCCACCAGATCTAGGATTGGCTTGCACTACCTCCCTGCCTACAAGGAGGTAAGATCGGTCAATGAGGTATTTCTAACATCCTGACCTTGTATACAACTGTAACAGAAGAAAACCTTTCAAAGTGACAAGTAGTTAAGTGATATTGTAACTATTCCACAGAGGTATCTGCAGGTCTCCCTTTGAGTCTTCATGAAGTTAACAGAAAGAAATGCCTTAGTTTGTTTTCATGCTAAGTGGCATCAGCATCTTGTAACTATAAAATAATTACTCCATGGCAGTGTCAGATTACCTCTTTCACAGATACTAAAGCTCTTCTATTTGTGATAGACAACAGAGTTGATTGGACTTTTGTAATAGCATAGAAGTATGTAATTTGTCTTTGCAGGCAGCTTTCTGTAGTAGAGCAGAATTTCCTACATGAGTACTGCTCAGCAAGGAAGAAGTGAGCACCGAAGACGGACGTGGAAAGAGGTGTGCTCACACAGCCCACTTGCAGTCAGAAATACCCATCTCATCACTAATTAATTTATTTAGTCCTTTTCTTAAGTGTTTTTGGAAATGGTGATTAAGACTTTATGTTATGCTCTTGAGCAAGGTGATTAATGGTCCCTGAAAAATCCACGCAACGTCTCAGCTGTGACTTTTCTTACTGTTTTCATCTCTGTTGGAGACAAAGGAAGAAAGAGTGTGAAACAAAGTGATAAGGATTTATGGCTTTTAGGCTGTAACAGCTTTGGCTTATAAGCCTAAGGAGCTTAACATTGGGTGTACAGACATCTCAATCACACCAAGGGTGGCTGTCACAAAACAGCTCGTCAGATTTGATCTGGAGGGGTTTACAATGCATCCTGTAATGAAGTGTGGTTATTGCTGTCACAAACCCTAGATGAGAAGTCAGAAAATAAACTTGGTCCAAGTACTTGTTGTATACAAAAATTGGAAATATTTGCATACAGTGGAGCTCCTTGAGCTCCATTTTTCTTCCCTTACCTGTAATTACGTATGGTTAAAGTTGGTGTCATGTTAAACCTCCAGTGCTGATGAGCAACTGTAATATATGTGACCAAAACATGTACCCCATGATGCAAAGTCCGTGATTTTAATCGCCATTGTTTAATTACCTTGGTTAAAGGAATGAAAGTGTTGGTTGCTCCTAGAAGGTTTTACTTTAGACAAACAAAAATATAATCATGTAAATGAAAATTTTCTTATTTAATGTTATCAACATGTTCAAAACAATAAAATTGCATAGAATTGTCAGCATTAAATGCTTCTTCAATATACAAGCTTTATTTCAGTCTTCCTAGCTTAATTTTGTTCTGAACATCAAGGAAGATGGTATGTCATATACATTATCATTAGCTTGTGTTGGTCAGCTAAAACATGGTTGGGAGCAGAATCCTTATTAGAGAACTTCTTAAATTCCAAAACCTTATCCTCCTTCAGTTAACTGTCAGAATCCAACCCAAGGGATCAGTGACGATCATGTTTTCCACACTGAGGACTGCATATGAGCAGCTAGCCATCAATATCTACCTTGGTTTACTAGTTAATCTGATCTTTAGAAATATCTTTTCCTTTATTTTAACCATAGTCTTCTCCCTAGTAGGAGACACTTGTGGCAGTGGGAAAAGGAAGAATAAATGCATTTTGGTTTGGAGGATGGTGTCTCCCACCCTAGCATACAGTTGTAAAGAAAACTTTACAAGGAACTGTGAAGTAGTAGAACAAAGATACTGATCTTGTTAAACCTGGACTGGCCAATAAAGAACATATCCTCTTAAATCCTGCTTAGACTTAGAAGGATCTATCTATATATCTTGTGCATCTACTTGGCTTTGTAATTGTGTCCCTACCTACTGTTTATTTAATTAAATATGATAAAACAGCCTGGAACATCTTTCTCAGTGTGAAAGCAAGCACAGCTAGGCCATGGTCATGACTGCACCTTTGCATAGCACTGCAATGTGAATGCATTTTTTCATATCTTCAGAAAAGTTATCTCCCTGCAATACAGTATGCTGTATTTATTTTCCCAAATTGAGCAACATAAATCAAATTAAGCATTTTGGTTTATGCAAAACCTGGAAATACTATTGCTCTTTGACCTCCATTTTTCTTCCCTTACCTATGATTACATATGGTTAAAGGTGGTGTCATGTTAAACCTCCAATGCTGATGAGCACTGTATATATGTATATATACAAATATATGTATATATACAATGTATATAACCACAGCTTCTACTCCAAGTGCTCAAGCTTACCTAATTACTGCTGCCAAGAACTGGAGACCCAAGAATTAGGTTTGGCCCTAGTGATGTCAGTGAAAGCACAGAAACCTCTACCCAACCATTTCTTATGGGCAAATAGCATATGTCCTAAATTCCTAATTTTCTGAAGAATACCTTGCTGAGCCAGAATGATGTTAAAATTTCAATTTCATGTTGTGTCACAAACACCATCCAGTATTGTTAAAACACATACACTAGACTTTTATATTTCTGGGGTTGTTGGTTTTTTTTTGCTCTGAAGGAATGTTTGAGACATTACTGAAGCGTTTGTTGGTTTTGTGATTTGGTTTTCTTTCTCTTTAAGCCTTAGAGCTTTAACCTTATAGTTCAACATTGCCTAATTAACCTGCCATGGCCTTGCTACTCTGTTTAAGCTGTGTCTTCTGTCACATTGGACTCATTTAAGCAGAGTGTCTTCAGTCCCACTGGGCTTAAAAATGTGTGTTATTTAGCAGCTACATGTACTAAAGAAGTGCTGTGTATTTTTTGTGCTGTAAGGAAAAGGCAGTTGTTCCTTGTGGCTCTAAGGAAATGCCAAAAAAAAGCCATTATCGTCATATTCAGCAATAGCTCCTCACAGGGCAAGCAAGCTCTATCCTTGCATCTAAACAGCAAGCAGAATTAGGATCATGAGTGATATATCCCAGTGCTCTGCCCCTGTCTCCCCTTTTTTCATCTTTAAAGCCACTTTCAGCATGGCTGTGACATTCAAACACCATACAAGGGTGACATATCTGGACTCTGATGGCTAAGTTCATTGCTAAGCGTATTTCCTAAATGCTGACGTGCAAGTGTCAGTACAAAAGTGCCACTCATATTCCTAACCCTTAGGAAAAACACACTAAGAGCTCTCCAAGTTCACACATGATAAGCAACAGAGAAGGTGACTTTGCATACTCATTTTAACGTAAGTCCCCTGGTAAAGGACCCTGGCTCCAGGAAAAAATATGAAGCATTAAATAGAGGTGGAGGGATTCGCTACTCCCAGTAAACTCTGGTATCAGAGAATGCATTTTACCTCTCTCCATTTGGGATG